CACTGCGGCTCAAAGTGGTAGAATGGGTCTGGGAAGGTGGCTCAGTGGTAGAGCGCTTGCCTTGCATGCATGAGGCCCTGGGTTTGATTCTTCAGCACCACATAAGCAAAAAGAAAAAAGCCGGAAGTGGCGCTGTGGCTCAAGTGGTACAGCACTAACCTTGAGCTGAAGAGCTGAGGGACAGCGCCCAGGCCCAGTGTTCAGGCCCCACGACTGGACCCAAAACACAAATAAACAAACAAAGTGGTAGAGTGCTAGCCTTGAGCTGAAGACCCATGTGACAGCATCCAGGTCCAGAGGTCAAGCCCCATGACCAACAACAACAAAAAAAAAAAAGAAAGAAAAAAAGAAAGGTACCTGAGGGCAGGGCACAATGGACAATTTCTCCCACTGTGTTTTGGCAACAATATGCTGGTGACTTTTCCCTAAAACCTATGGCACTGATTTTGGACCAGGGCAGGGCTGGGATAGGAGGATGAAAGAGGTCTGCGTAGCCCAGGGCCTCTGGCAGGGAGCTCTCAAACAGAGTGGTAGTGTTTAGAAATGCAATAGAGATCCAGACATGGTGGCACATGCCTATAATCCCAACCAGTTAGGAGGAAGAGGAATCCCAGCCTGGGTAAAAGAGTGATGCCCTATCTAAAAAACGATCGAAAACAAAAGGGTGCATGAATAATATTAAACATGTCTTGGTAGAACACATAGAAAACTAGATTTGGTCCCCAGGACTAACAGGGGTGGGACGGTGGGGCAGGAATAAAGGCAACAGCGTGTTGGCACTGAGCGTGATCACTGGGGGAACCAGCACTAGCAGCCATGCTTGATGCAGGAGCCCTTAGAATGCAGACTCTCAGGCCAGAGGGTGCATTTCCACAGGCTTCCGGCTGACTTCTAGGTGCTTTGAGAAGCACAGATATTGTCAGCATCTTTGGTTCTTGCTCATTCAATGTCCTTTCCTCTTTGGCTGATGGCTCCTATGTGTGGTTGGCAGGGCTACCTCACCCCTGCTTTTAGGAACTATCAACTTAGTATAGAGTCCTGTGTCCCCTGGGACCATGTCTGGCCCAGCTATTGGCAAGTATGTAATTCTCAATGAGTGCCTGTGGCTCATGCCTGTAATCCTAGCTACACACACACACACACACACACACACACTTCTCATTAAGATATATCTTCAGCCCTCCCTTGCTTTGCTGGGAAAGTCAGCATCTAAACCAGGGTGCTTGAGATGTTGAATCTGGTTGGCGCCCAATGAAGTCATGAAGGGAGAGGCTAATTAGGCGGAGACCAGCATCAAGGACCACAGAGCTGAGCCATGGAGACAAGGGACTGCTCAGGACACATTCCAGCACTTAGATTCCATGCCTGAAGCTTTTCAACCCCAGGATTTTTCTGGCTTATAAGCAAATATCCAATTTTGCCTCCATTGCCCGAGTTGAGTTTCTGTTACATGTACCTAAATAGTTTTCACTGAATCTTGCAAATAAATACTTGGGTTACACTCAGAGTCTCCAGTGGCGAGGGCCAGGAGTCAGCATTTTTACCAATTCTCCAGAAGCATCTTTTGTACATTAGGATTTGAGACTTATCAATGGAGTGGGGAAAAAAGGCTGAATTTAGGAGTCAGCATGGAACCCTGATGCTGTGCGACCCTGAGCAGGTCACGTATCCTCTCTGAACCTCTCTTTTTCTCTCTATAAAATAAGAGGCACATACTTCTCAGGCACATACCTCTCCGTGACACAGAGGATATGAAAAACTCTTTCAAACCTCTACACATGGGTCTTGTCTCATGCTGTTCAAAACTAGACTCTGAGGGCCGAAGTAACCCACAGGCCCCACATGGGCTCAGAACTTCTGACCCTTAGCTGGGACAGGACACTTCCTCCAGCTACTGCCCACTCCTGGGACCTGAAACCTGTCCCTCCCTCCACTCCAGGCCTTTGCAGGTTCTGCATGGGAGGAAATGAGAAAAGTCAGCTGCCCATCTGCTTCCCACAGTGGCCTGTCCTACCCTCAGGCCCAAACACAAGGCCTGAGACCTGCCTGAGCCTCTGGGCTGGCTGGAGAGGGTTTCCTGGGAGTTCTCCGAAAGGGACAACCGTTTATTTTCCTGTGTGACATTTGCTTCCCTTTTCTAACAAGGCTCCTCAATTTCCCTTTGAAAACCTCTAGCGGCTGGCTTCAGGCATAGTAATAGACACGAATAGATTCCCAAGCTTGGTTCCAGCCCTGCCAAAGGTTAGTATGTCCTGGACTCTCCAACAATCTCTCTATTCTGCTTAGACCAGTTTGAGTTTGATTTATTGGTGGCACTGGGTATTGAATTCAGGACCTCACATTTAGTGGGCAAATGCTGTGCCACTTGAACAACACCCTCAGCTGTTTTGTTTG